TTCCCGAGAAATCGTCGTGTAAAGGGAAGGGTAATTTTTAATCGTTTACTATTTCTATCCTTGTCTCCTACTCGGATCTCTCGATCGCACCTCGTCTCACGCGACCTATCTCAAAGTCCAGACGAGCGACAGACGCGATTCTAGGAAAGATACGTAGTACGCATTTCCAGGAAAAAATGTGGGTCACTGGGTCGCGGACCCATTCATTATTTTTATAAACCGTATGACCACTTTGAATCCTTGTATCTCGGCAACGAATTGAGATATCGGGATAAAACAAAAAGGGACTTGAATGGCACGGCTTCCACTGTATTTCAAGTGGATTTTGGTGACAAAATTTTAACTTCTTTTCACGATTTTTACACGGAAATTCAAAGTTTGTCGCTTTGATTTATACGATATAAGATACATACGAGTATAATTTATCATGTTTTCAGTTAACATTAAAATAATTTGATACATTATATCGACAATCTGTATACAGGTAAGAATGTATACTTGCTGCCTCTACGTTTACATTATACATCGTTATCGCAAAAATATCCAAGTGTACCTTTCAATTTCAATGACAATGATATATCATAATATCGTTTTATCCTCCCTTTTTTTAAATTCGCCAACCTCGGTGTATAATTGGAAACTCGTCGAATCGAATCCTTTCCTACTACGGACGAGATTGGAGATGGTGACACGAGTTGCAAGGTTTGTGTCATCCTCGTTACCCGATTCTCTTTCCAGCCCCCCTGATCTTTCACCACTCGACGTTCAAATCTCTCTCGTGCACCCGAGTGTCCCCGAGGTTTTTTCTCTACACTCGCGGAGCAGGATTTCGAGCACGCCATCCTATAATTCCCGCCGCGTATTCATTACGCCTTCCTTGACAAATTAACGCGAAGGCAGAAGGGGCGATTGGGGGCGAGGCTGTTGAAATGGCGATTTTTTTTCGCTCCACCAGAGAATTTCACAGCGTCGTGAAATATTTTCACAGAGACGAAGAGATTTATTCTCTATTCACGGATGAATCCTTAATATCTTCCAATGTTAAATTTATATCCGTTCCGTTGGAAAGTTTTGGGAAGTTTTTTTAAAATTTGCGGATCGTAAAAACGATCTGTTCGTGAGAAGTGATTAAATTAAATCGATATGAATATTCGAGGATGATACTCGGATATTCGGGGATTGTTATTTATAATATTCGTTGAAATTTCAATCTCTCTCTCTCTCTCTCTCTCTATTAAATACGATAATTTAAATTAATCCATATTTTCCAGATCAAACCACCAAACCGAAATGAGGGATGCATTAGGGAGAATCTCGCGCAATAAACCATCCAAGGATTAAGTCTTAATGGGAGGCTAACATTTCTAGAATTGTACAAGCTCTAAATCTACCTGTCCAAACGTTTGTCCTTGAAACGTTATTTAATCCTGTACAAATCTTACCAAAACCTGACCAAAATTCTCCAAGTATGAATTATTTTCGTTAAACAACCTTTTAATTTCTTTTCAAATTCAAAACTTAAATTGTTAATCTCGATTTGGCTCGAAAGCATAAACCCAGGGATATAATATTAATTATTTCCTTTAGAGAAATTAAATTATCATCTTTGACAAGACTCGATTTCTTCATGTATTGCATCAACACAGATAAGTAAAATTAGAAGATGGAAAGATTGTAGATCGAGTATTACTTTTCGTTTCAAAAAAAATATGATCGTTCAATCAGATTCAACAATAATGAAAACTCGTTATTTTTTTTTAACCTTATACTCGATTCGTAACAACGAAAATTTCCTGTTATAAAATCGCTCCTACGCCACACTTAATGCAGATCGGTTCGAATCGGTGGAAAATTGGATTCTAGCTGGTAAACATTGCCTGGGAGAATACAATGGAGAAGAAGAAGAAGAAAGAAAGCGGAAGTAATCGAGCGTGAAAAGGAGAGGCTAAAGAAAAAAAGGAGGGGGAAATGGTAAGAAACAGAAGTTGGGGACGAACACACCACGCTGCTCTCTCACCCAACGAGAAGTTGGACAAGTGCAAAAGGGAAGAAATGGTTTCGAAATCGAAGGAATCTCTCTCTTTCTCTCCCTGCGTTTATTCATTTTACTTCCTCCTAGCTTTATTGGATTCCAATATATCGAACGTTGCTTATTCCCCATTTTATATATATAATTTTATAATTTTCCATCGGATAAGAGGCGACATCGGGGTCGATGAAGAGCATCCAACGTGCCCTTTAACGCGCCACCCCAATCGATATATTTCCATATTGCCTGGCTAAAGAATTCCCTTCACCGGTCACGGTTAACCGATCAATCGGTACTTTAATAGAATAATCGTGCAGATTTATCGTTAAATCGTGGATGAAGGAGATAGGATCGTTGGTTGGATAATTGTCAGAGAGTGCGTTGGGATGTTTTTCTTTTTTTTTTTTTTTCGATTGAAAAATATTAAAGAAATCTCCCTATCTCTCTGGATCGTTGATGTTTAGACAAGAAGAGATAATCTTCCTTGTCGATTTCCAGTCTCGATTCACTGGACGATGAAAGAATATTATTTTTTATCGACTGTACGCAAGAAGCAAGTTCGATCCTCGTTTCAACTACGTTTTCTCGGAAACTTTTGATTCTTTATCTAAAATTGACGAACGAACGGATCGTTGTGAGAATTATAAGTAAATAAACCGAATCAACATAGATTAAATCTGTGACGAGTAACGGTATGAATCGTAATGTAAATTCGATCGGGTTTAATCGTAGAAAAATCGTTCGCAGTCGAACTTTGAACACCGGCTTTCTCGTGAGAGAATAAAACAGTTTGCAGTTTTGTAATAAATAAACTGAACTGGAATACACTGGAAACAAAAAAAGAAAGAAAGAAATATTCCAGTTAGGAAGTTATCGAGCTTCTACATAGCTAAAATATCCAGCTTCGTGTTCTCCTTCGATTGTTACGAATCCCGGAGAGAATACGTTATTTTTTATCACCCCTCGAGGTGATTAAAAAGAAAGAATTCACTTCGCTCACCGATATTCGGATGCTGCAATTTCCTGCATATCCGTGCCTCACGTTCCAACTTCTGAAAATCTGAAAAACAAAGAAGAGGGAACGATAATTAATAAAAGCAGACAAACAAATGGAAAGAAATTAGCAAGAAATTATTAACTCGACTCGAGGAAAACAAAGGAGAGGGATAATTAATAAAAGCAAGCAAAAATAATCGAAAGAAATTAGCAAATTATTAACTCGACTCGAGGAAAACATCCTCCAGTCAGATTGATATTAAAGTTGACAGAGTTTACGCAATTTATAGGATTCATTTATTATTTATTATCGAATTATTCGCGACTCGCGCGTGTCCTCGAGACATTCCTCCGCGTGTCGTAGGCGAGCTTTATCGAGCGAAAATTTCACCATAACCGATAGCAAGTACAGTCATTACCGCGAAATCGAATTTCTCAACGAGCTCCCTTGACGAGTTTCCTCGTGGCCAATTCACCAAGGACCGCGATAAAATTGGATTTCTCCGAGGCCAGCTCGTTTCGAGCACGATTTCCTCTTTCTTTTTTCCGTTGCGAACTTGTTGCGAGTGAAGGGCCCGTCCCTTTCCATCGATTTCCTCCTCCTATTATTCGTTCCTTTTATTTGTCAAATATACCATACGTTTCCATTGAATTTATTTCCCTTTCGAGAAAACGAGCAACTACCTACGTTCTTTCACAGACACGTTCGAATTTCTGCGTTTTCTAGATTAATAACGAATAATAATTGGAAATTGTAAATGAAATGTTTCTTATCGTAGCCTTGAAAATTTATTGAAAAACAAGGGTATAAAGAGTCATCGCTTTAAATTTTCGAACTATTATATTTTCCTAACGAAAAACATAATTTCTTAATTCTTGATGTTGGCGAGATGCTTCCATTCCCTTAAAAGCAAAATATCCTTTTAAACAGTTATCGAATCATAAATGTGAAACGAATTAAGAAAAAAAAAAAAAATAGAATCAAAGTTTATGAAAATCGTTTCGAAAACACACGAATTTATCCATTTATCCAAGCGACAAACGGCTGGGTACGTAATGGTATTCCTGGTCGGTTTTAACCTAAAGAAAGAAATCGTCTCTTCACCCTTCCTCGCCTATAATTAAATCTCCAACGAGGCTCGACGAAATCATCGTTCGCATTCCGCGCCAAACAACCAGAATTAACGAGCAAGTCTACCGACAAGAAATAAGAATACAGGAGCAAGACGAGGGGAGGCAAATTGGAGGACAGAAGCACTTGACGAATAAAAAAAAAAAGGAAAGAAAGAAAAAAAAAAGAAAACTAGGTTATTCGTCATTTCTCAGGTGTACAGGAGAAGAATCTTCGAGAGAATCTTCAAGAATCGTTGCTACGTTCGAGCGATTTTGCCTCTCGTTTCAATTAATCGATTCTCTCGATTATTGCATTTTCGAGAGAAGATCCATTCCATCGAATTGAAAATCGACTTGATTTCATATTCAGAATCTTCTGAAATTCATCCATCCACGAACGATACATAATCTTTAGTAATAAATCGTGGCGATAAGCTTGTGTTTAAAATTATAAACAACTTATAAACAACGATGTTGACGACGACGACGTTTTTGTTTTGTTTTTTTTTTTTTTTCTTCTCTCTCCAGTCTCCTTCAGCGAGATCGATCCTTCGAAAATATCCCACGAATACATTTAACGTTCTCTCTCTCATGCCTTGAAAAAATGCCGTGATTATAAAGAGGCAATTCACCGAGTCGCGACGTAGCCTTTGGCCAAGATTAGGCAAAGCTTGATGAACCACCCTTGTCCCCGCTAAACTCGTTAACGCGCAGAGGCCACGTGCACAGAGGAGAAAACATCTCCTTCTCTCCGTTTGGATTTCGTTTTTCCAATCTTTATAATTTTCGAAGTGAAATTAAGATTGAAGTTTCTTAGAGAGAATTTAGAGGAACAATTATACAGACGAGGTACGAGAAACATTTTATTAACCAACAATAAATATCGATTCGTTTTAAGATATCCTAATTGCGAATTACAAAATATCCAGAATTTAAATAACAAAAAATTGACATTTTCTAGATCGAATTTCATCCTCTGAAAAAGATGGAAGTTATTATTCCTAATCGTATCACTCTTATACAAACTTGTGAAAACAAAATTCTTCTTTAAAAAAGGCCACGTTCATCCAATCCATTATCTTCAATCTTCATATTCTCGTACACAGGGAATCGAAGCAGATGTACAGGAAACCAGATAAGGATAGAATCCGGTGAGATAAAAATAAAAAAAAGAGAGAAGACTTTGAGAGACGACTTGCGTTCGAGCAGCCCTTTGCGTCCGATCGAGCACGAATGTCACGAAACTCGAGCTAAAAAACTCTCCCCCTCCCTCGTGTCGTGCAACGGATTGCGTCGAGGGGGCTAACAGGGGGCGAGCTCTTGATCTCTCGAGCGTGATAAGGAGACGCGCGTGTTCGATGGGCAAACGATGCATTCCGCTATGTTTCCATGCTATCTTCGACGCGAGGCGTGCGCATCCCTGTGTTTTTCCTGCGCCGCAGGACGCAGGCGTGAACTTGACGATGGGTTGTTCGAGGATTCCGTTCGATAAAGGAGAAATTCACGCTCAGATTTACACTCGCCATGGTGAGTGTAATAATGCCGAGGGTCGAGGAAGATGTGTTTACGTGTTCATTTAAATTTCAGAAAAGATACTTTTTCAAGTATCGAATCGATTTCCTTTCGTTTACTCGACACGACGCTCGGTCGATGGAAAATGAATAAAATTAGCCGAAAGGAAATAAGAGGGTACATGGAGAGGGTTAGAAACGAAGTGGAAGGAAGCGAAGGGGGAGAGGAATTCGATTCGTGAAGTTTGGTTTAGGAAGAATTTGATTTATTCCGTGATCTTATGTTTTAGACGTTGGTAAAGACGTTGGGTCCTTTGGGACGGTGAACTTGTCTCGAGATTCGGTGTCTTGCCTTCGAAAGTCCATCGGAATTCGGTGCATCGAAAAAGGTCTCTGCAGGTCTATGGGCAGAGATAAGAGAAAGAGGATTTTCTATTACGTGATGTATATATATTTCTTTTTGCGATTTCCACTGAATTTTAAAAAGGTCGTATATTTCCAGGGATTTGTTCGAATTTGCATGTATCTTCTGGAAATTAACACATTTATCATTATTTTGTATTTAAAATTAATTCGTAAAATCGTTCGATCTTACATATATATATATTTAATTTGCACGTTGTCGAGTTGGAATGATCGAACAATTGCGGGAACAATTCCAAAGATGGAACCACGTCGTTTTATCACTTTCGAGTAACGAGCTATACGCGAAAACTTAATTAGGGGAACAAGGTATCCTGGAGAAACGCCGATATAATAACTCGAAACTTTCCGAATATATATATATATATATATAACACTTGGCGCTCTTAACTGATAATTAGAACCCGTGCAGAAACTTAGAGATATTCAGGAGAACGAAGATACAGTTCAAAGAGAATAGCTTGTAACTGGGTCAAGTTCTCCAAGTGGACAAGAACTTCCCTTCCATTTCTTAGAATTTAAAATAGAAACAAGTGAAACGAAACGGAGGAGGGGAGAGAGCAAACAAGAAAATGGATAAAAGAAATTTATGAATGGGGGGGAACTTCACGATCATCGTCGGCCATTGCACCTAAAAAAAAAAAAAAATAAACTGGTTTACCGATTGTTACAGAAGGAGAGAGGCAAAGACGCGAATAGAGGGAAATTATTTGGAACGATTTCTTTCTCGTCGATGAAACGGAGAAAAATGAAAATCGAAAGACGGTATCTCGTTGCGTTTAGAATCGATTTTGTGACCACATTTCGAGCGTGATTATATAAAAAAAAAAAAAATATGAATATTTAATTACTTGGACTAATAACTTTTGTGGAAATTAATTTCTTGCTATTTCGAAACAAAAGATTTAAAGCCAAGCTTTAAATGGCATGAGATCATTTTGCATTTACTATGATAAATATCTTAGATTTTATCCCAAGTGTCATTAAGATAAAATTAATAGAATTTACAGATCAGTTACGATACAGTTCGTTCACTCGAAAATATTTTCCTTCGATCGCACGATTAAACCACGAAAATATTTTCATATTCGATTTTTATCGATAAATATTATTATTTAATCTTATCTCTCGAGAGTAATATTTTCGTTCGATTCCATTTTCGAGGATCGAAATGAAGGAGTTTCGAGGGAAATAAAGGGAAGAAGTGGAGATTTCGTGTGTTGTTAAAAGATCGACCCTCCCCCCCTCCTCCTGTACGATAAGAAGAGAAGATGGATGTGGTAATTTTCTTCTTTCTTTAAAAAAAAAAAAAAAGAAGTGATTTGTTTCGAAGGAGTTCGTGTAGTATGTTCGTATTCGAGTATGAAAATATCCGTAGACTCGTAAATATGAATATGCAAGGGACAATGTTTGTAAAACATGAAAACTGAACGCGAAACACCTCGAGTACCGTTTAAAATATTATACCGGCATTATGTAGGATGGAGCTTGACGCTTGTTATATTCCTCGCTCTTGATCCACGGTAATGTAAACCACTTACTCCTTGAACAACCCATTCCCTCGTGATAATTACGTAATTAAAATGCAACAAGTATTTTAAAATTTCAAGTTTAATACCATTTAATACGTGCATGCAACGCGTAACTAGGCGTAAAAGAAGAAAGTTTTCAATTTTCGAACGGTCCGTCTTTTGTGTAAAACCAGGAAAACGCAGGAATTTTCGAGTCGAGATCTTATTTTTAAGTAAAAAACTTGAAATCAAATCATTCAAAAATTTATGCGATGAAGATGGAGAAACTCTTTGAGGGAGAAGAGCTTCTTTTATTCCTTCGAATTATTTCCGAAATTAACGTGGATATTCGAAAATTCGAGGGAATGGAAGGAAGAAAAATTGTAATTGTTACGAATTAAACGTTTAAAAGACGAATGATCCCCAAATTACTCGTCGAGAGTAAATTAAACTATTACTCTTGAAACGAAATGATAACTCGATCTATCTTTCAAAATTAAGATCCC